CTTGACGGACTACGCACGACGGTGATCAACGAACTCTGAAATAACGACGCTGACAGAGAAACGATGCAACGAGAATGAGACGACGATAAAACAAAATATAACGTCTCACTAACTAGGAACAGCAAAAAGAAATACAGTAACGATTTACTTCGTTACACAATGAACTCGTAAGAAAAAACTGCGTCTAATAGTTATAGTTTAAATTTTTTTTTCAAATTATTGTTTGTAAAAAATTAATATTAAAAATCTAAGAAATTGCAGAAAATGAAGGAATATTTGATAAAAAGTTAAGGAAAGGACTTTGCGTAGTCCAAAAAACAAACGAGGCTACGAGCTCGAATGTAAGATTTGAAGGAAAAACTTAGTTAAGGTATTTGTCGCGCGACTGGTCACTGTCAAAAGTTTGTATCCGTTGACTGTACTTATGAAACGATTATGAATGCGAGTTTCCGAAAAACTTTTGCGGACGTTCAGTTTGACATACAGATGTTCTCAATGTATATTCATAACCTCTCGCATGAAAAACGATCGTGGCAACGTCGCAAGTTTGGCGTATGGCCGTCTTTAAAATTTCGCGCCAAAAGTAGCAGACAAGCTGTAGTATTTAACAAGCGCTATTGCCACGTTTACAAATTCACCTGTCATTTACAGTAATTGTTAAAATAATTTTTCAAGTTTGACGTTAAATATCTTTTAAACAAGACGGTGAAAAATTTTCATTTTTTTTATAAAAGTTCATTTTGGTTCAATAAATGAAACTTTAGTTTTTCTAAAAAATCTGACGATTAGTATAAGTGCAAAAATTAAAAATCTGTGGTTTTCATATGGTTTTCCTATACCTTACATGTTAAAAATCGAAACTTTGATTTCATTTTTTGAGACATACAGACGGTCAATTTTATTTTAATAGGCCTTATTTTGTAGATAAATATCCAAAGAATAATTATGTGAAATTTAAAAAAAAATCTGACGAAAACGAATTTACGCGACAAATACCTTAAAGGCATTTGTGTGTTTTTTGTATCAAATAAGTAGTCGAGTCTGAGCGTTGGATTTGAAATAAAAACTTTGCATCTGCAACGCTTGCAATTACCTAAGTTATTCCGTCAAAAAGTCAGTCGAGACAGAGCCGAACGACTACTTAACTGCATTCGGCTAAACTCGGTTTATGCTCGGGACGCAAGCAGCAAGCCAGGAAGGAAGAGTAAGGAGACCGAACTCTGCTTCTACAAATGTCTGAGAAATATGCACGAAAAGTGCCAGACTCACTGTGTTCTAGTTGATCACCAATTAAGTCGATCATGCGCATTGAACTAAAGTTCAGTGTTGACATAGATGAAAAGTGTGGTTATGTCAAGGTAAATATTACATAGTTTAAACAGTGTTAATTTTAAAAGCAAATTTATTTATTTACAATTGTGATATTATTTAGATTTTTAAAATAATTTAATAATATATTTATGAAAAGGGAAAAATTTTGCAAAAATGGTTAAGAAGAATTGTGTTTATAACTAGAGTATATTTACATACCGTAGAAGGATAGAAGAGACTAATGTTTTTAGACTCTTTTTCTTTCTTTACATCCTGGCACACAACACGACATTTTTTAAATAAAATAAATAAATAATTATTAACCTTTAAAGTACTATGCCGGTCTGACAGACCGCTATTAAAATTTTCTTTGCTTGTAACTTTTTTTCAAAGTATAATAAGAACTTGAACTTTTTAGTAGCTTTATATTTTATGAAAATCTGTTAGGAGACAACTTTTTCAAAAATTTTTATTCGTTAAATTTTGTAATATAAATAAATATTTGAAGTATAGCGGTCTGTGAGACCGGGGTTAGCTTTAAGTGAAAGTATATTCCAGTATATTCCCATGAGTGACGTCTGCGCAACTTGACGCGCAGCTAGTTCTACTGATAGTTCTCATAGACTGCATTTATAAAATAAATAAATGCATAATACAGAAATAACTTTTTTTGTTAAGGGGTTATATACAGTCACGATTTTTAAAAAATCGATTATTTTTTTTTGCATTTTCTTAAAGTATATATATATTTGCCTGTTGTGAAAAAAAATTTTATTAAGATTCGAGAAATATTTTCGAAGTTGCAGACAAAACTAGAAAGGCGCGCCATGGGGTATAGAGCAGGTGCAGCGTCTTTAAACTCGCTTTTCTCAAAACTATGTTTTTCAAGTCGGTGAACACGATTTCTCAAAAACCGCTGAACCGATTTAGCTCTAATTTTCACACAAGCTTAACAACTACTTTTTGCTGTCCTTGATCATTGGTTTTTTAAATAAAATGAAAATTATAATTTTAATCAACATTTGAAGACGATTTTTTTCTTCATAAAAATGAACTTTTTTTTTCTTTGGCTGCCATTTTGTCAAAACATGATATTTTTTTAATTCCAACGATCAAAGACTATATTTTCTCATACACTAACAGAATCTATTTAACTTTTTGATCTCAGATGATTCTATCAATTGTTATCTTGTTCACCGCGGGGCACTTTTTTTTCGTGGATCTTTGGGAGATAAGCTACAGAGGCCAAAAAAAATAATATTTTTACAAATGAAATATATTTTTTAAAACTTTAAAAGATGTAAAACATTATAGGAAAACTTTCGCTTTAATAAGTTAATATTCCTTTTTAAAAAAAATCCTGAAAAACTGCATTTTTTCGACCGCCTGACTGTATATAACCCCTAAAAAAGTAAAAAATATTTATAATAGTTGTCTTTTAAAAATTATAAATGACTAAAAAACTGTCAAAAGGGAATAGCGGTCTGACAGACCGGGGTTAGCACTGAGCGTGATTTTTCAACACTTAGCACTTTAAAGGTTAAAACGAAATGTATTGTATATGTATGTATCTCACTAAGACCGGCTAAATGTAAACATTAGATCTTACATCTCACTCGCACAATTTTTACGAGAAGCAGAAACACAACACAGCTTATGCGCATGATGAACTTAATTGGAGGTCGACTAGAACGCAATGAGCCTGGCACTTTTCGTGCATATTTCTCTGAGATTTTTAAAGCGCTTTCTACACAGAGTTCGGTCTCCTTACTCTTCCTTCCTGCAGCAAGCAGCCGTCCCCTTACCACATGATGTCATTGTCAGTTAGGTAAGTTTTTCCATCAAATCGGAGGACCGAGCTCGCGTACATTTTTGTTGAGCAACTACGCAAAGGACTTTACCTAACTTTTTACTTCATGATTGCATTCGGAAAAACACGCAAGTGCATTTTTTCATATAATTTGTTTAAATAATTAATTTTTTATTTCATAGTTAAATAGAGCACCATCATTATACCCAGTATGTGAAGTTGAATTGAACAATTTTTTAATTTTTATTAGGGTTCTGAAAGCAAACAGTTTTTCCTTATTTTCTCGTTTCGATATAAATGTCAGTTAACTAAGTTTTTATTTCAAACGGCAGTATAGATAAAAAACATGTAGGCGCAATGCGCCTACAAATAAATAAATAATAATTTATTTAGAAATTTTTTTGTACTTAAGATTGAAATTTTTTTTATTATCATAGTAACAGTTGTAATGGCAACTATTATTATATCAACGGTTGCCACGGCTACGGCTGTTATGTCAACCATTAACATAGCAACGGTTGTTATTGCAACCATTAACATAGTAACGGTCACAATGGCAACGGTTGTTATGTTGTCTTAAGACTTAAGACTTTTAAGACATAAGACTTAGGACTTAGGACTTAAGACCTTCTTATACCAAAGTCTCGCTATAAGACTTAAGACGAAAAAACTACGGACGGACACCGAAGTCTCGCTATAAGGGTTTTGGCCCTTGGCCACGAAACCCTAAAAACCTAACTGGCCGGTTTGGACCATGAAAGGGCGGTCTACCCCAGGGGGCGGGGCAAACCGGACAGTTTGCAAAATTTTTTAAAGTTAACACAGCAACTAAACAATAAAAGATAAATACTTGAAGTTAGTGACCGTTTATTAATTATGTATTATTGAGTAAAAGGCATATCGGTCGTGTTTTTTTTAAAGTAAAAATTCTATTATGACTATGGTCATTCTTAGTTTCTCGTCGTTAATTGTAAGTCTGAATTTCCTCCCTCTGAGGAAATTCGGACAAATTTTTAAATAATGGGTCTTTACCCATAGTGTCCTGAAGATGGGTCGGTACGTCGACATTTTTGTTAATAAAAATATTTTTTAAAATTAAAAAAAGTGAATTTTTACTTTAAAAAAAATCACGACCGATAAGCCTTTTACTCAATAATAAATAAAAGATAAAGTATAGATGTCTCTGGGAAAAAGTTGCGCAATTAAATGAATCAACCGATTTCATTTAGTCACACTCTCTAAATTTGAATCATCTGCGAGTATGCAGCTGATGAAATAGCGTATATACACTGATAAAACAGCGTATATGCACTGATTTTCCAGCGTATATACGCTGTTTCATCAGCTGCATACTCTGGGCTGGTGAATCAGCGACTTTTCGCTGATTCAAATTTAGAGAGCAGGAGTAAAAAAACCGTTAGTGTGGCCGGTTTGCCCCACTCTCCCCTAAATAAATAATTTATCTTTATTTATAGAATAATTTCATTAAAAAATAATTCACTTTATATCAAAGAATTTTTTTATCAAAAAATAACTTTAAAGTTTTCACAAAAATTAATAAATTAATTAATTAAATAATTCTTTTTAATTTCAATTAAATAAATTGATCAATAACTCAAATTAATTGAAGAATAATTTTTTCTGCGACACAAAAAATCGAAAAAAATGTGTTAGAAATAAAAACATTTATTTCTGAAGAATTGAAAGAGAGCAAAAATTTTTCTCACTGCAGGATTTGAGCTGCATGATTGCATGTAAATTTTTGTAATTTTATTTTATTTTATTTTTTTTTCAAAAAAGAATGAGTTATTTTTTTGAGTTGCTCCTGAGGCTCCTCCAGTTGCTCAGGAAAGAAGAACTCAATTCTACCGCCTGATAGGAGTTTTTTGGTTACGTACAGGAAATGATTGACTGGATGTCCTATCTCTCGGTGGTATCAACGCTCAGTTTTGTAATGTTCTTTGCCGTGGGGCCTGGTTCAATTCCCTGGATGATAACAGCCGAACTATTCTCCCAAGGACCAAGGCCTGCAGCCATGTCTATTGCTGTACTCGTCAATTGGATGGCTAATTTTGTGGTCGGAATCGGTTTTCTCAAAATGAAGGTACGAAAAATAATTTTTCTCTATATTAATTCACTATAATCGAATTAATTTATTGCAATCCAATTAATTTATTACATTTGACTTAATTTTTTGCAGTTGAACTATTTTATTACAATTCAATTAATTTATTATTATTAAATTAATTCATTATAATTGAATTAATTTATTACAATTGAATTAATCTATTATAATTGAATTAATTTATTGTAATTGAACTGATTTATTATAATTAAATAATTAATTTATTATATTTGAATTACTTTATTTTAATTGGATCAATTTATTATAACTGCCTAAATTTATTGTAATTAAATTAACAGGGTGTCTACTATTTTCGTTCGACAAAATTCCCGCTCTTTTCCCGGCTTTGTCCTAATTTTTCCAGATTTCTTTCTTATCAAATTTAAATTTATTTGATTTCGAACATAAATAAATCTACAAATGGCTTCCAAAAATTTTATTAGAGTTTTTATGAATAATTAAATTCTTCTGACGAATTTCTTTGAATTTTTTGAAAATAATGTTTTTTTAAATAATTTTAATTAAAAATTTGGAAAATAATTGAATTAAACCAGGGACCGACACGGACACGAAAAACCACGACACAAAGTTCGCCTGATGGTAATTCGTTTCGTGCCAAGGCACGTTTTAAGAACACGCATGAAACACTATGTAAAATCTTGCAAACATTAATTGTGTCGTGTCAAGGCACGAAAAGTACATTTAGGCGTTAATTTTTTGCAACTTTTTCAACGCAGAAAATTTTTATTTATTTTTCTTCACAACTTCCAAAATACTAGAACGATCGGTCGAACCCCCTATAATGGGGATGACATATTCAAAAATCGAAAAGTACTTTTAGGCGTTAATTTTTTGCATCTTTTTCAACGCAAATAGTTTTTATTTATTTTTCTAAACAACTTTCAAAAGACTAGATCTTTCGATCACGTTCTCTTTTACTCCCTGTAATGGGGATGATATACTAAAAAATCGAAAAGTACCAAAAGACGTTATTTTTTGGAACTTTTTTAACGCAAAACATTTTTTATTATTATTCTTAACAACTTACAAAAAACCAGAACTCTTGTTTGACCCCCCTTCTACCCCTTGTAGTGCGGGTAAAACACTAAAAAATTAAAAAGAATTATTACCCGTTATTTTTTTTGAATTTTTTCGACGCAGAAAAAGACACACTCACCTGAGTATTAGGCAATTGTAATTACCTTACGACTGGTATACAAGGACCTTTTTCTTTACTATATATTACATAATTTTTTAAAGTCTGAAGACGTAAAATCCGCAATCCTTCGTTTATTGACGCATGAAATCGATTTTTTTTTAAATTGACAAATGTTAGACAACAAATTTTTTTTTAATAGACAAACAGTAACGTAAAGTTATTGTTTTATTTCAATTTCTTGTTTTATAGTTCAAATTGTTATTTTACAGGTTTGGCAGGTAATTTTAAATTTTCATAAATAATTTTTTCACTGGTTTTACATTGAAAGTACTTTAAAAATAAGCAAATAAGGAGCAATAAGTTTTTTAATATTTATTTTACAAAAATGATTGAACTTTGTAAGATTATATTTGGAAGTTTTTATGAAAATTAAGTTTTTGAAAAAAGTAATTAAAATTTTTTGAAGACATACTTTAATTCCCGAAAATAAATTTAAAAATTGAATAATTGGAAATTTTGTAAAATGTTATATTTTAAAAAATTTTATTTTTTCTTCTTTAAAAAATGATCAATAAACCTACACGCTAAAAAAAGTTCTACTAAAGTAGAGATAACAATCACTATAATAGCTATAAGTTTCACTGATTTGGCTCCATCGATAATCCATTTTCGCTGATCTAGCGAAAATGATATTTCTTGCGTTACCTTTTAAAAACAACATAACCTCAAAATAACACTTGAATGAAAACATTTTTAAATTAATGTTCAAAGCGTATATTCAAATTCTATTAATTATATTTTTTATATCATAACTAATAAAATGTAAAATTAGTAAATTAATACGTATTTAGAGGTAAGAAATGTAAATTTGACATTTGTGATTTTATAGAGACATTTCTATGAGAATGGTAAACTGTCAAATATTTCCAATATGGATGACCAGTGAAATTCATTTTCTCTATATCAGAGAAACAGTTTGACTACTACATTAGAAATCATTCACTGAATTAGTTGAATAGATTCTTTATGTTATTTATTTTTGAAATTAGCTGTTCTCCACAGTAAAATTTTTTTTCCGTGTCATTTTATTTTTGAAAATACATTATTTTATGAATTTACAAAAATTATTCCATTTAAATTATAGAAAGTGAATTTATCATTCGGCAGCTAAATATTAAGAAGAAAGAAGCTATCAATTATCTACCTACCTATCAATTATCCTACCTTATTAAAATAAGGTAGGAAGGGATAGTATATGTCAAGGAATTCGGAGAATCTCGGGGTGCATGTAGCTCAGAGGTCAGAGCAGTCTACCGGCAATAGAAAGGTCGTGGGCTCGTATCCCACCATGCTACCGTTTTTTCTGGATTCTTTGATAATTTTGAAATTATTAATTAATTTCGAAAATATTTTTCAGATTAAGCAGGTTTCTGTATTCGGGCAGCTGTGCTGTCGATACATATGAAATCTAAGAGCTTATAGAGATTTATTTAAGATATTTAATTTATTTAGTAAAAATTTGATTCGGATAATTGATAGCTTCTTTCTTCTTAATATTCCATTTAAATTTTTCAATTCTTGTAGTTGAATTCTGACAGCAATGGATTTATAAAAGATTTGAGTTAAAATTTCAGAAAATAATTGTAGGGGAAGTGCGTCGGTTGTGGGCACTCTCCGGTTGTGGGCACCCCTACGTAAACTTCGACGGCAAGCAGACTTTACTGATCTAAATATTGCAAGTCGTGTTCGTTGACAATACGGACTTTTCGTATTGATAACGAAACAAATATATGCATTTGTGTAATAGCTGTGAGCATAATAAAGAAAATTTGCATTAAATAAATAAAAAAGTAATTTTGTATTGTTTTCGAAGAGCAACATATGGGTGTAGATTCGTTCAGAAAAAAAGGGTTTAATTTTTTTTTTGCAGTGTTGTTATTATATTTTGTGATTTACCTTCGTGTTTAACCAAAATCCTGCATCACAAAATGTGTTGGTCTTTTTAAAAAATGACTGTCATTCCCGGTTGTGGGCACCTTTATGTTAAGGAGGCTCTACCATCTGACAATGATGAGGACTACTGTCTCATCTGTCTAAACTTTCTGCCAAGGAAAGTGACAGCCGCAAACTCCATTAAATGCGATGAATATAGTCGTTCAGTGCATTAGAAATGCGTTATGGTTTGCGTACTAGCTACTTCACATGCAAGCATTATGCTTTTGTTAGCGATGAGCATAGTGTGAAAACGTGTCATCATTTTTGTTCTTTATCCCGGCAAAATCTCTTAAAATAAAGAAACTTTCATTTCTTCTTTATTTGTGTTGTTTTCCTTTAATATTTTTCCATTTTTAGCGGATTTTTCAAGGGTGCCCACAACCGGGCACAAAAATTTTTTTTCTTCATACCTCGGTCGAAAGTACGTATTTCCCGCTGCGATTTCGCAGCAGAAAGTCAAACATTTGTGCTTTGGTTGATTTTCATACCCAACCTCTATTACAGCGAGAGTAAAAGAATTCTCTGTCGGTAAAAACACCACTGTCGGTAAATAAGAAAATTTTGAGTTCAATGACAATTTAACGAGTAATTGTTATCGCAATATAAAATGAGAAAAAAAATTATCAAGAAAACTTTTTATACTTTATAAATTTATTATCCACAAGCTCTGAATATTGAAATGAACGAAATCTTTTGCTGATATAATTATTTTCAAAAATTATTTTAATAAACATTAAAAACAAAAATAAAATAATTAATAATTTTGTAATTTCTTTTTTAATACGTGCCAAAATGTTATTATAAAATTGTAATAATTTGAAGAAATAATGAAAGTGTTTTCATTAGAATGTTTAGAATTTTAGAAACATAGAATTAATTTTGTACCACCAGAAAAATTCTTTTGAAAATATAATATTAATTTATCTTTCACATTTTTTTTCGTGCCTGCCCCCGACCAGAAGCACTCGCTTCGCTCGTGCATCAAATGTCGGGGCAGGCGAATATTGTTTGCAAGAGAAAGACAGAGAAAAAGCCTGAAAAAGCTTCACGAGTGTCCGCTAGAGGCATTGAAGCGAGGAGCAAAAGTAAATAAAGATGGCCGGCTGTCAAATGAAACTCGATTGCAATTTTCTTAAAAAATAAATTACCCAGCGTACTTTCAACCGTATATAAAGAAAAATACTATACATTACACGGGCAGAAATTCGAAAGCCCTAAACTACGCGATAATGCCCTCGGCTTCGCCTCGGGCATCATTTCGCGCAATGTAGGAATTTCGAACTTTCTGCCCTTATAATGTAATATACTATTGTCAAAAAATTTCTATTTCACTAAATTTCTAATAAAACTTTTTTATTTAAAGGAATCAATTTAATTCCTTCACTGACAGTCACCTTAGACCTCTAGCTTTAAATTCGTACACATATATTTGTATAATATGCACATGGACAAATGTTATGAGGCAAAAACAAAAGGGTGCCCACAACCGGAACACTTCCCTTATTTAATTATTTAAAGCGTTATATCAGGAATTTTTTGAGAATCTATTAAATTTCAAAAGATTTTTAAATTAAATTCTTTGAAAATTAATTACGTTTACAATTTTTAGAAATAATTAAATTTTATGAGGTTTTCTATTGAAAATTATTCGAAATTTTATTTTTTGTGAAAAAATATATGACAATAAGTTTTTAAATTTTTGTTAAAAAAAAAGTATTAATGTTTTGAGTAATTTAATTCATTAATTCCAAAAAATTGTTTCTTTTGAAAATGTAATTAAAATTTTCCAAAAACAATTGTATTTCTGAAAATAATTATAAAAAAT